TGATATTCCATTCTTTTGTTCCTTTACCAATTTCTCTTATAAGACCCCCAGATTCTCTTGGAAGAATTTCCTGACTACCCTGTATAGATATGATTTTTTCTGCTCAACTCTTTAGCAATTATCATCTCTGATACTTATCAGCTATCTTGTACTACTAGTAATATTAACATTTGTGTCTTTTTTCTCCCCAAGTACTGGAAATTGAATCCAATGGCACTCTACTGCTGAGCTACATTCTCAGCTCTCTTTTATTTATTTTGGTACTGGGGATTGAACCCCAGGGTGCTTTACCACTAAGTTATATCCATATGCCTTTTAAATTTTTGAGACAGGGTGTTGCTAAGTTGATGAGGCTGGTCTTAAACTTGGGATCCTTCTGCCGGCTTCCGGAATATAGGCCACCACATCTTGCCCAGGCTGGAGTTTATATTGCATTTCTCCTGCCTCAGCCCTCAGAGTTGCTGGGATTACAGGCCCGACTATGAGTAGCATATCTCTCCAACAAGACTTCAAGTTTTTTGGACATAATTTGGTATTTCTTTCTCTGTGTTTCTGTTTGTCTCTCTCTCTTTTCATACTATGGCACTGAGGATTGAACTCAGGGGCATTTTTACCACTGAGAAAAATCCTCAATTTTTTTTATTTTTTGAGATGGACTCTCACTAAATTACTGAGGGTCTTGCTAAGTTGTTCCGGCTGGCCTCAAACTTGCCTCAGCCTCCTGAGCAGCTGGGATTACAGGTATGCTCCTCTGAGGCTGGTTTAACAAGGTACCATTCAGGTTTTAGAACTTTCAGACCTATTTTCAAAGTTCTAAGGCACAAAACTTGTTGAGAATAATTTGAAACAAGAATGACAGGTCTGTGAATCAGAACAGTTGGGGAAGACTCAGGAGGAGGGATTTCCCCTATCTCACCACAATTTCCTACTATAGTTCCCACTTCCCCATCCTTAGTACTTCAGATACCTTTCATTTCATAGTCCACCCTGCTGGTGAAACCTTTGTTGAGTTGTATTTTTTTTCTAATGAACCCTTTCTTGCGTTGTTTTTTTCTTTTTTTAAAATATTTATTTATTTTTTAGTTTTTGGTGGACACAACATCTTTATTTTATTTGTATGTGGTGCTGAGGATCCAACCCAGCGCCTTGCGCATGTCAGGCGAGCGCGCTACCGCTTGAGCCACACCTCCAGCCCGTTTTTTTCTTTTTCTAATGAGCATTTCATCGTCTCATAATTCATGATACCCAGAGAACATTCCATTGTCATTAACTCAGATAAGTTATTTGGTGTTTTAACTACTACTATAATCTTCTATTTGGTCACTGGACTTTCTTAACCCCAAGTCATCACTGCTAGTCTAATTTTTCCAGAATATCACTTACATGATTACTACCCCTGCTCAAAAAGCTCTGATTACTGGTAAATATTATATATTTAAAAGGATTTAAATTTCTTAGTTTTGTGCTTCAGTAAACAGGTTCGTCTCTTTTCCTGGCGGTATCCAGAACTCCTGAAGAGGATTACTCAGTTTAATCACCTACTGACATGTGCTTATGTCCCCAAACCACAATGTGTGTTTTTGTTTTTGCTTATGGGACCTATGTGTCCAGATTTTCTAGCCTTCAGCCTAAATCTTTTTAATATCCAAATTAGAGTTCCGGGAGACATTTCTCATTAAGTAATATTTGGAATTTCTGAAGAATGTTCTCAAGTCCCAGAAAACCACTTACATGACACTTGTGATGTCAATTGTCACATAGTCAGTTGTCTCATTCCAGACAAACTTTTACCCTCAGTTGTTGAGAGCTTGCTTTTACAAAGCCAGCTTCTACAGGCTGCTGCTGCTGTTCTCTAAGGACAATGTTGACCCAGGCATAGTCCCAGGCTGCACATCTAATCCCACCCTGTACAGCTAAATCTAGGCTATAATAGTTCACAAAATTTAACAAGTTTAGAATAACTAGGGGGCTACTGTACAGAAAACTTAAGTTGAGAATCTAGATATAAGGGTTGCTAGAGTTCACTGGCCAGCCACCTGCAAAGAGGGTTCCATACTGATGTTCCCTGATTTCCATTGCCAGTCTTTCCCCTTTCCTCACTCCCCATCTAGCAACAGTCATACTTCAAGGCCAGCTTCTCTTCCTCCAATGAACTCTTGTCAGCTGGAAAATGGATATTTACTGAGTATCTTTCAAGTGCCAGTTACTATGCTAGGCCTTGGGGATACAAGGGATAAGAAAACAGACAAAAGCCCTGTTTTCATGAGAAATAAATATTAAACAAATTAGTAAAACATTTCTCAGGTAAGAAAATAAAACAACAAACAAATGAAAACAATGTCCCCCCCATTCTGGTGTCCACACTCAGGGTCTTCATATTTTCTGGGATCCAAACATGGAGGATAAACCAAATTTCCCCTCTATCTAGTCAAGGTGATTGCAATCTGTAGAAAAGCATTTTGACCCCAAGAATGACAGCTTTTTACATTATTATACAGTTTGGTTTCTTATTTTTTCATATTTCCTCAGTAGAGAATGAATACAGCCAAAATTCATGAAAACTTAAACTGCTTAGCACCACTATAAGCCCAATATATATGCACTAATTTGTGTAATTTTCAAAATTAACTCAGAGGGAGCTTTACTATTTTCTCCATTTTATAGTAAAGGCAAATAAAGCACAGAAAGGTTAAGTAATCAGCTCAAGGTCACACAGTAATAGCAGAATTAAGTAAGAATTCAGGCAATCTGATAGCCTATCCCAAACTTTTTTATCACCCTCCTATTATTCCTCTCCATTTAGATAATTTGCATAATCATAGAAGGTTCATTAAACTGATTTCCCCCAAACAATGGAGCAATGTTTCCTCAAAGATGCATTCTACTTCCTGCTTTGGAGCTGAGAGGAAACTATTGACAATTTCTCAGTTTCCCATCTTTTACCTCTGGAATTTCATCCCATAGTCAGGCTTAGCACATCCTGCCTCTTCTCACGCTACCCTGAACTTCTCTTTTTCAGTTGTAGAAAACCTACCAGTCCTTTCACAGAAGCCAGACTGAGCCCTAAAGTTCCACTCCCATTGATTTCTGCCCTCTCTGTATTCATGTAACAATAACTGTCTATAGTAACACTCTTAGTCATTACCTTCCCTACTTGATTTATAAGGAATGCACATGCATGGATCCCTAAAGTAAATCGCACAATGTCTTGCATAGACTTGGTATTAAAAAAGAATTACTAATTGTTCAATTGATTGAGAGGGTTCTCAGGTCCTAGGAGATTATGTATTTTGCAGCAAGATTGGTAGCAAAGACAAATTTAGTTCTTGGTTTTGTTTTTATATAATTTAACATTAGGAAGTGTAAACATGCATTGAAATGTCATACTGTTCCCTGAACAGTACAGTTATGTACAATTACTATATATTGATTAAAAAATTTAAGAAACTTATTTAAAAAAAGAAATTCAGGGGAAAAAATCTGTGGATATTAGAGGTTAAATATCCCTAGTGTACAAATCTGAAATCTGAAATGCTATGAAATTTGAAATTCTGTGCAAAGTCAGCACTCAAAAAAGTTTTACATTTTGGAACATTTAGGATTTTGGATTTTTTGATTAAATGTGCAACTAGCAAATATTCCAAAACACAAAAAACTCTGAAATCTGAAATAGTTTCAGTGCCATATCAGATTAGGCATATCAATCTATATCAAAATATCATTCAATAAACATTAAATGTGCCAAGTCATTTTTCTCATTCTTCTAGGTATTAAGAAAGAACAAACTTTCTCTCCTTAACTCTATACCCAAGTTGCCATGCTTCCTTCTAGATTCAAATCCAAGATTATCATCCTTGTTCCTAAAACACAGAAACACATATTCTAAACTTGCTCCTCTTCAAAGTCTCAACATTTCTTTCTTTTTTCTTTTTGATACTGGGGATTGAACTCAGGGGCACTCAGCCACTTAGCCATATGCCCAGCCCTATTTTAGACACAATACCTTTATTTTATATGGTGCTGAGGATTGAATCCAAGGCCTCATGAATATCAAGGCAAGTGATCTACCACTGAGCTACAGCCCCAGCCCCTCCCAGATCTATTTTGTATTTTATTTAGAGACAGGCTCTCACTGAGATGCTTAGTGCCTCTCTTTTGCTGAGGCTGGCTTAGAAATCCTTCTGCCTCAGCCTCCTCAGCTGCGGGGATTACAGGCGTGTGCTACTGCATCTGGCTTCAACATTTCTTGAAAGCTTCCCATCATCAATGGAACATATGTTAATCATATGTTTAAAAATAGAAATCTAAGTTTTACATTCACCTGATGAATGTAATCAGAGAGAGTACCAAGACAATTTGCTTCTCATTTCTTTTGCCAGCTTAATAATACCATCAGGGCAATTTTCTATGTTTACATGTAGCTTTTTTTATTAGCTATGGGTCGCTGCAGTTTTAATTTATTGTGTGATAAAAAGAGCTTACAATAATTTTCAGAACATTATTCTTTGAATTGAGGATTTTAAAGTAGAACAAATGAAGTAAAAATATTACTATGCTTTTCCTAATTCTAGATACATAAATGCAATGAAAAAATGTAACCAAATTAAATGCAAGTTGGAAAGGAGAACGCTTCATATAAACAATTGGTGGTAGAGATGTTTAGTTTCCTGCTACAATTCCAATCCAGAATTAGTTTCTAAAATAAAATGCATGGAAAATCTTCTCACTTGAATCTAAATGCAACAAATATGAACTAGATATTTAGTTCCTTGTAACTTTCTATAAAAGTTCCACAACTGTTTTGCATAGATTATATTAGGGATTCCTGTGTGAGTGTGCCAGACAAATTCAGAGAAAGGCATCTTGGTGTTTGCTTTCTTCTGTTCTAAGCAAATTCAACATTTTACTTGAATTATTATGCAAAGTAAATATCTATAAATTAGTATTGAAATAGAAAAATATTAAGTTAAAAATAGTAGAAAGGCAATCTGAAAACCTATTTAAGACATTTCCCCTACACCATAACAATGGTATAAAACATTAACATGACGCTTGATAGGATCCACAATAAAATAAGAAAATGTCTGTTCATGGTTCTTTGTTGAAGGGTAGCACACACCAGTAGAATCCTAAAAAAGATAAACCTAAATTATTTAGTATACAATTACATTTAAATGATAATCAACATATTTGAATATTATATATTTTTTGTTAAAGCAACATGAAACATACATACATCCTTGGCAATAAATTGGCAGTTAACTCATATTTTAAAATGTTGACCACACAATCTATTATGCTAGATGTATGTCTGTATTAAACATACATGCCTAATTCTTGTTCTTAAGGAATCTATAGTTCAAAGGGGAATTCCATCATTTTTTTAAAAGTGCTTTTAATATGCTAATATACAAAATTTAGCAGTTTTCTCCTATCTATATATATATTTTTCAAACATGATCTCTATGTGCCACATATTTCTTTTATATTGTGCCCTAGCCCAGCATACAATATACAGTAAATATTTAATAAATATTAGCTAAGTGATTTTTGAATGAAGATACTTAGAAACTGCTTTATGTGTAATATCTTTTGTATGATACTAAAATTCAAGTATCAGATTCTGTAATATAAAGACATTTATGGTACTCATTTATCTGCGGTACTCTTATTTATCTGTATTCTTCTCCATGAAGTCACAGATTTAGCTCTATAATTAGTAGAGAAAATTAGATACAGACAATAGGAAGCATAGAAATAAGTTCAAAGTATTCTCCAAACAAAATCATACCTTATATCAACTTTTGACAAAACACTAAATATCACCCTTTTTTCACCTAGTCATAAATGTCCTAACAAACACACCATTTGTAGCAAGTCTATTAACAAGAAGTAACTAAATTATTTGGTTGTAAATTTTTGCTCAATACTTACATAGGCTGTGACTTTAAAGATAGAAGAAGTAATTTGTATTTTCTTGGTTTGAGGATGCTTTCGAACACTAGAAAAGAAGAAAGATACATTTAAAATATATAACAAGCTTACTTAAAAATAAAATTTAATTAAGATTAAAAAAAAACCCCACATAGATAGCCTACAGTGACAAAGAGCATCATAAGGATGTGGGCCAAAGTAAAAGGCCAAATCGTGGGGTAGGTGGGATATAATGGCTGGTAGGAGTACAGGAAATTGTGAATGGACTTGCAGGGCTCTGGATGCCAAGTAGGCAGTATAAAGTTTTGGGAAGCATACTCAGATCAAGAAATAGCCTTGAACTTTGAATTTGAGACATCGGTGATTGAAGTCAAACCACTAATTTAAATCTCTTCTAGGTAAATGAAGAAAGAACAAAAACTTCATGCAAATACATATTTGGATATATACTAGATGCATCTTGATTTCATGTTAAAAGAGTGATTTTTAAAATCAGATTATATGGCATTATCTCCAATTGAAAGGACCTAACTGAATCAATTGTCTTGGATTCCAGACTGCAACTATGAGTTTACACAGAAACTTGACACTTAGGAAATAGATAAGGTGTTCTGATTATGCAGGTAAATAGACCAAAAAGAAAACTTGGCTTTGACTATTTGACAATAGAGTTAATAAAGACATCTTAAAGCCATTAAAATTATATGTATTATGTATAAAATAAGGATTTTTATATTGCACTTTAATGATCCCTTTTGTTATTTAGGTATTATTTTGTTTTCAAATAGAACACGAAAATATAAAATATCCAACTAAAGTGGTTCGAAAAGGTTGGCATCCAAGGCTTTATCCAAGAATGGACAAGGTCAATTAAATTGAAATAATAGAAAACCAAATTTTACAATTAGGTGCGCGGTCAGTCTGAGATTCAGATGGTGAAATGACTATACCAGGTCACATAAACAATTATTGGATAAAAAGGGATTTGGAAAAGTCAGATTGAAGTATAGATAGCTGTAAGGGATAGATAAAAACATGCGAAAGAAGTAAACAACCTAAATACAAATGCCAGTGGTACCACTGAGCTGTTATTTTTTACTTTGGACAAGATTAACCTCTCTGAAACTCAATTTTCTCAGATGTAAGCTGGACATATTATGGTTTCTTTTAGGATAAAAAAATTAAATGATATACATGAAGATAATGAATATAAAATAATATATATGAAAACTTTATATGAAATGTTTATCTTCATGAAATATATGAATATAATATGTATAAAATAATATATATGAAAACTATATTATAAAAACTTTGTTAAATCTGTTGCTAAATTATATCATATAAAAATAATTTTCTCTTGGTAGCTCTCAGTTACTCTCCCTGAAGATTACCTGTGGCAATATGAAGAGAGTAAACAAACTAGGGATTGAGGAAATAAACAACAGACATACATTTTATGTTGTCTACATACAGTATTCATACATATTTAAAATGCCTTAAAGTTTGCAAAATATTATTTAAAGGTCACATAACTTAGGCATTATTTTGCCAATTTTACAGACAGCAGAAGTAGAAAAGTTAAATGAAATGTTTAAGAAAATCCACTATAAGCGACATTTCTGGGAACAAAATCCAGATGACTGGGAGATCCATTCCCTCTCTTCTATACATCTGCTGTTTATCCCATACCTATATACCCTCTAAATACATATGAATCAAAGGTATTATTCATATGTAATATGAGTAGGTAAAATTTAAAGGAAGATCCCCCCCTTTGCCTACTTTACCAGGTGAAAATATTGCTAACTGTCTACTACATATGTAAAAATAATGGGAACAGAGAGGGGACGAGCAGGAAGAATGTAGACTGTGTGGAAGGGGTGTGTGTATGTGTGAATCTGCATAGGCCTATAGATGACCAGCCCCAGCCATTTTAGGGTTCCTGATTCCTAGGTGGTTTTCATCTCTTTCATAGTTAAACCCAGGAGTCATATGATTAAACTGATTTCCAAATATTTCTATGAATTGGGTCAAGGTAATTTTATTTTTCTAATGCCTAAGCTATACTACAAGATGAAGACGGCATTTAAAAATCTGTGCTTATCCAAGGATGACCATAACCACCATATATAAATATTCATATATACCCATAGCTAGGTGGCTAGCTCAAAATAAAGAACATATGCATAGTTATATCTAAATCAAAACAATATGGGGGTGGTATATGGTATAATCATGTGTAAAATTTATTGAGTTATATGTATACTTATGATTTATTTTTATACATATTATTATTATACATATTATTACTATATGTAAATTGTCTCCATAAATATATTATTTAAAAAATAAACTACCACTTGCATATTACTAGAAGTTGATTCCTAACAGAAATAAATCATATTATTCTATTTTATTTCTTATGCTAATAATATCTAAGAATTTCTAAATTAATTTAAAAAAAGTAAATTCAGTATTACCTGTTCTATATCTCTAAGGGAAAAAAAAGGAAATGTAAAATAATAATCATTAGTGTCTTAAACTGTTTTACTAATAATTAACATTATATCACATCTTTGGGCTTCACTAACTCCCTCGTTAGATAATCATAAGTTCCTTTTTTTTTTTTTTTTTTGTGATGCTAACAATCAAACCCAGGGCCTTGTGCATACTAGCCAAGCTTAAAATTATATTCAACATCTATAGCTATATCTATATATGTATATGTAGATATAGATATATTGATCATATTAATGGTTAGGAACATCATTTGTGATAATTTCTGAGAATTTGTCTCATACTGACTCTAAACTTTAGGGTTAAAAGACTATATTGTAAGCAACACTGCTCATTTTAAAAAACAGGAAGCCCACTGCTTAACTAGCATCTGAAAGCCATAATCTCAGTTCAAATAATAAAATTTTATCTGGGAAGAATAATTGACTTGGGAGAATTCTCTCAAAACTTTGGTAAAAACATGTATTTAGGGGCTGGAATTGTGGCTCAGTGGTAGAGTACTTGCCTAGCATTCATGAGGCACTGGGTTCAATCCTCAGGTTCACATAAAAAATAATAAGTAAAATAAAGGCATTGTGTCCATCTAAAAAACTAAAGCAATAACGACAACAACAAACATGTTTATATTTGAAAGAATTACTTGCTTATTAAATAAAATGGTTCTTAAGTATTACCTACTTGATTTAAAGAAACAATCACCTTCAAAAAGAAAGCATTTTTCAAAACATTTAAAAGACGTATTTTATAGGATCTGTGATAATAGATGAGGAAAAAAGTATTTAAAAAATATTTTATTCAGGCTGGGACTGTGGCTCAGTGGCAGAGCGTTTGCGTTGCATATGAAGCACTGGGACTGATCCTCAGCACCACATTAAAAAAATAAATAAATAAATACGAGGATTGTGTCCATATACAACTAAAACAAAGATTTTTTTCTTTTGTTTGATTCACAATTCCTAAAAATCACACTTCATAGTGTGCCCTTGACTTCCATAAACAAAGAATGGATTTTGCTGGAATACGTTGTTTATAATGTTTATCTGCAAGGGCAGATTAGATCCTGTAAAGCAGCTGCTGCATGTTTCATTAGAAAGCTAGCAGAGGTCTTTCTAATATATGCAAAACACCCAAAATTCAAGTAAATAAATGGGGAAAAAATACTTCTTTGTTAAATTAGCTTGGTCAGATGACTTGGTTGGACATGTGGCTCAGAATTCTGAAAAAGTACTAAAGATACTTCAAGACCCACCTTACATATTCCTTGATAACTACTATATCCACCCACTTTATCACTACCAATAGATGACAGGCCTTAATAAAATAACACAGCATTTGACCAAAATCAGCATGACCAATATGAGGAAAGATGTATTTTATAGTACATATAGTATTTTATAGTACATATAGTGCATGTGAAAAACAAACTTTTAAGGGACTCAGATCAATTATCTAGTCAACTGCTTTGTACTGGCACCTAAATCATCTTTTTTAAAAATATTTTTATATGTAGATGGATGCAATACCTTTATTTATTTTTGTGTGGTGCTGAGAATTGAACCCAGTGCCTCACATGTGGTAGGCAAGTGTTCTACCAATGAGCTACAAACCCAGCCCCTAAATCATCTTAAATAAGTAAATATTTAAACATAATTTTCTACTGAAGTGCTTTGAGAAGACCATTTCATTTCTCCTTGTTCAGCAAAGAAATTCATAAGTATGTTTAAACTTGCACCATTAGGAGAAATATTTAATGGTTCTCAAAAGCACTGCTCCACTTGGGCCAGTCTCTTTCCTAATCTCCTCTAGAATGGCAGACTTGTTATGTATCACCTTTAAACTGGCAACAGAATGGTCCTCATAGACTTCATTCCATCAAGACTTCCCTGATGGCTCATACCCATACAATATCCTCTTTTGAACTTCTGGGGTATTACTTACAGTATAAAAAGTAGCAAACATTTGCCTATAAATAACTGAACACTTGGGGCTGGGGATGTGGCTCAAACGGTAGCACGCTTGCCTGGCATGCATGCGGCCCAGGTTCGATCCTCAGTATAATATACAAACAAAAATGTTGTGTCCGCCGAAAACTAAAAAATAAATATCAAAAAATTCTCTCTCTCTCTTTAAAAAAATAATAAAAATAAATAAATAACTGAATACTTGATTACATAAATAATTTTACTTTAAAGATTTTAAACAATTCCTTTACTATTATATGTAGTTTATTGCAATTTCTTAAGGTCAAGGACTATTTTGTTGTTCCTCTTGTAGCCTGTTTAGAGCCTAGTAGAGTTCTGTGAATAATACTGATACTTGCTGATTACCTGATTAAATGATTCTACACTTACTTTTCTTGTAAGATGTCATGAATTTTGACTTCTCACTTTATGAGTGGTCATTACTCTTTTCTAGTCATACTTTTTCTTAGCACCCCCAAAATGTAGACGAGAATCACAAGTAAGAATTCAGGAATGGGAATGTTGGGAAAAAAGCAGTTTCTGCAGTGTTGAGGACCTAAAATTATATCTGTTTCAAATATCTCCAACAGACCTTTGGTCTCCACAGCACAGGTAGTGAGGAATTCTACAAACTTCATACTGACAAAGGGATCCACCAAGGCACTGCAATGGTAATGGGGTACTTTTTGTGTGAGCATGTTGGGGGTACACTAGGTAAAGACTTCTGGTCTTTAATAGTACCAGAAGTGGTCTACAAGTTTTATACAAACTGTAAATTATTGGGACAGAAAATGTTTGATGTAGGCATGTATATACTTTTTCTGAAATTGTATTTCTAATGAATCTGTTTCAAAAATCTATGTAATGACACCTTTTCATTAAAATCAGATACAGATTATAGAAATATTTTTGTTTTTAACACCATATTAGAAATAAAAAAGTAAAATAAATCATGTAGTTAGATATATGACACAGGGACTAAATATAGGAATTAACTTGTTGAGTAAAGGAACAATTAAGAATCTGATAAAAGTTAATTCTGTTATTTTCCTAGTGAAGTAAAATTATGTACCTAAACTCTGGAACTCTCTGCTTCTCATTTGTATCCAACTTGTCTATAAAGATGATCTAATACCTTCATAATTGAGAAAACCCTAACAAAGAACATTTACTTAGTTAAAATAAGAATAAGAAATTTATAAAGTTTTAATCCTCATTTGATCTGCAGTAAAAGAGAGGGAAACAAAGAAAGTCTATTAGAATTCCTAAAAACTATATAGCTTTGGGATGAATTTGAAAAGGTAAAGATGACACCTAAATGAAAATTCTTCTATTTCTTTAGAACAAAGAAAATAATTATTACCTATTAGTCAAGTAAACTCAAAATCCTGAGGGATCTTTCCTTTGTGTGCCTTTGTGATTTAAAAAGAGGTGAGTCAGTGGGGGAAACCTGGAAGATGGCAGTCCATAATAAGGGATAGAATGGGTGATTGGTCTAACTGAGGAAACAAACAAAAGAGATAGATGAATAATGAGAGGACTTAGAATTAAAATAGAGAGAATTCTAGAAATCTTTCTAACTTGGAAAAAGGGGAGGTGGTTACAAGAGTGGGTGAGGTAGTGCTACTTCTACACACTCTGGTGATTAATATTATGACAAGGAGGTAATCCCATCATGATCACTTTTCTTTCTTTTTTCGAGACAGGGGTCTTACTTTGTTGTTCAGACTGTCCTCAATTCCTGGATTCAAGTGATCCTCCCACCTCAGCCTCCTAAGTAGCTGGGACTACAGTAATAAACCACCAAGTCTGGCTCCTACCATGGTAAACAAACCATTTGCTGTATTAACTAGAGATTTATGTATTGTGATCTAGCAACTTTACCTCACCAGATCCTTATAGATAAGTTTTGTTGTTTCCAGGTATGGATTAAGCACATCTTCATACTGACAAAGGGATCCACCAAGGCAAAGATGTTTAAAAAGACAAAACAGGAACTCTTCTCTGTCTGGTTGCCTGAATACTTCATATTTTTCAGAGTCTTCCACTAGCAAAACCTAAGATGATAAATTAATACTAATGTAATATAACCCAGGATTTTAATTTTTAAGTTTTTAAACATATCAATTTACATATTTAAAAATAATCTTATTTATTTTTTTTAAAGAGAGAGAGAGAGAGAGAAAACTTTAATGTCTATTTTTTAGTTTTCAGCAGACACAACATCTTCGTTTGTATGTGGTGCTGAGGATTGAACCCGGGCCGCACACCTGCCAGGCGAGCGCGCTACGGCTTGAGCCACATCCCCAGCCCCCTTATTTATTTTTTGGTGCTGGGGCTCAAACCCGGGGCTTCACTCATGCTAGGCAAGCACTCTCTGACTACTGAGCTACACAACTCTGGTCCAATATTAAACTTACTTTAAGAACCAATCCTGAGGCAATTGGAGAGAATATATTTGTGATCTGCACTTATTTTGCCTCCATTTTTTCATTAGGTCCTAATATTGGATTAAAGGAATAAATGAAATTTTAAAATATAGCAGCCAAGTCTTCCTTTATTCTAATTTTTATTTTTAGTAATTATTTTAGTGCTATAGTATTTTTGGTGTTAAGTCACTTCAAATCTTATTAGGAAATAAACTAAAGTATAAATGAGAAAACTGCTCCATTCCATAAAGTGTTTCACCTTTGTTTCTATCCAGAGGCTAAATATTAATGGTCATTTTCTAAGCATTCTCACATTATTTGTTTGCTTTTAGAGATGGGTTCTTGCTATGGTACCCAGGCTGATTTTTAACTCAAGGGTTCATGTGATTCTTTGGCCTTAGCCTCTTGAGTAGCTGGGATTAGTGTCTGGATCACTACTTTATCACTACTTTCTTTATATCCCCAGCAGGTACTCCAATTTTGAGCCTGTCAGGTGTTGGAGCTTCATATCCACCTTTCCTTTTCCTGGTCCCTCTAATAAGATTACTTTTTACACATCATATCTGTATATTGACTCTTAATCTCCTGAGACCTTGCTACCACTTTCAGAAAACAATTTGACTAGGTCTGATATCAAGGATTTTTTTTTAATATCATTGAGCATTACAGAAAACATGCATTTACTGACTATAGGTGATGAATGTAAGCTATAAAAGGTGAAAATTATAAGTAAATAACACATTTTAAAGAATTGTTTATATTCAACCTACTTTTAAGAAGAATGTGAAATAGCTAACAATAAAACATAGATACAGCTGGGTGTGGTGGCACATGTCTGTAATCCCAGCTACTTAGGAGACTGAAGCCAGAGGATCACAAGTTTGAGGTTAACCTGGGCAACTTAGCAAGACCCTGTTTTAAAATAAAATAAAAGAAAGAGGCTGGAGATAATGCTCAGAGGTAGATTACTTTCCTAGCATGCAAGGGGCCCTAGGCTCAATCCCCAGTATTGCATCAAAATAAACAAAACAAAAAAAAAAATTAAATATAAATACAATAAGACCAAAGTAATGAAAGACAAAAATTTATTTAAAAAAACCTCAAAAAAGTGGGACAAAAACTCTTTTATATATAAAGAACTCTAGTGGATAAAGCTTTAAAAATCATGTATAATACTTAACACTATAAGAAAATATGATGAGTTATATAAGAATAACTGTCTAGTAGCAAGAATTACATTTAATTAAGATAATTAATTAAGCTTATTTACAACCTCTAAGGAAAACACAAGGTCATCATATAAGAGCTATTTAAATAATAAACTCTATGGTGTTGTCCATATACAGTTTATTTATAATGACTGATGAAAGCCAAGGTTATGTATAATAAAAGGGAAGGGGAAGTAATTCATGGTTTATTGTCTCTGGGCATGCTACATGTAACACTTATACTTTTCCACTTCCTAACTTACTCCTTTCTTCCTTCCCTATAAATAAATGATGTAATATTAAAGCTTTTGTTTATAGTTACTTAAAAATCTGAGTACTAGGGTGAACAAAGCAATTAGGAGTTAACACATTCCCCCTCCACTACATTCTGGTGATTGAATCTAGGAGTACTCTGCCACTGAGCTATATTCCAACCCCTTTTTATTTCATTTTGAGACAAGTTCCCACTAAGTTGTCCAGATTGGCTTGGAACTTGCAATCCTCCTGTTTTGACCTTCTAAGTTGTTGACATTACAAATATGTGCCACTGTACTTAGTAATTAATAAATGTTTATAATGAGCACTGTCATACACTGTACTGATTAGACTGCATAATTTTAAAATATGACAACTAAAAAATTTTGGAATGAATATTAAAAACATTATATGACTATTCTCTCTTCCATTTATATACAGTTCTCTGGCTGTACAGCCCTGAGATGGCAGATACGCAATGGTTAACATTGCATATCTGAGTCATAGGAAAGAGGCTATTATTAGTGCTTACATTACAGTGTGCCAATAGAATATGTATCAGTCGCACAATGTGTGTGGAGGAACTTTTTAATTCAAGCTAAAACTGGAAATAATAATTATTATATTATTACTAATAATTATTAATACATTATTATTATAATTATCATTATTTTCAGCCAGAAAGTAACCAATTAAAAGACCTTCCCTTGAGCTGGGGATATAGCTCAGTTGGTAGACTGCTTGCCTCACATGCACAAGGCCCCAGCACTACCAAAAAAAAAAAACCTTCTCTATTGCCATGGAGTGGCAAAGAACATAAGAGCAAAATACATAGGCAATTAGCAAGAAAATACTGAGTTCTAGCACTTTAAGAATAAGGGTGCTTGACATTCCTGGCAATAAATATGACAGATAGCAGGCAGTTTTGCAGAGTATTACATTGGAAAAACAAATCCTCCTTTAAAAGTTCATTCATTGATGAGGTCCTTTCTATAGAAGTGATGGTAAATTCTCTGAAATTAGAGGTAAGGATTTTATGCCAGAATGGAATAATGGAAGAGGGAAGAAGGGAGAAAGAGAGCTGAGATTATCAGTATTCAAAAGGAGGGAAACCCAAACCAAGCATTTCCTAAATGGTAATTTCCAGTTCTTAGGAAAGTAGAAATTAATGTCAATCCCCATTGTATTTATTTCATATTAGATATAAGCATACTTCATTTCAATAAGTTAATTTCATTTCCTTCTTAAGCTAAGTTAAAAGGTTCTTTTAGGTGCATTCTAGTGTAGATTAATGTATAGCTGGGCTGGATACCTCTCTTTCCCCAACAGCGAAGATTTCTGTGTTCAGAATTGTAAATTAGCAGCTGCCCTAGTTCATTCCAATTTGGATTTGTAATATATTAGATTTGTATAATCTCCCTTTTCTCTGTTTTTTAAAATTTTTTTTAGTTGTCAATGGAACTTTATTTTTTATTTATATGTAGTGCTGAGAATTGAACCCAGCCTCACACATGCTAGGCAAGTGTTCTACCACTGAGCTACAACCGCAGCCCCCTCCTTTTCCTCTTAATGGAGAATAGCAGTAGTTGTTGTTAACATAACAAGTTTACTAAGTGCCAGGCATAGTGCTAAGCACTTTATGTGTATTATCTCACATAATTCTGACATTATGCTTATTTTACAGAGGAAAAGAAATCTTAGACTAAATATCATGATAATTAAGTGGCAGAGCCTGGTATGCACTGATGTCTAGGTTCAATAATTACACATATTATATATATTTTATAATGTTAATACATTTCACTTTAACAGCATTTCATACTTTCTAAAAAAGTACATTTAAGTATTTCCTCAATTCATTTTTCAATGCTTTTAAGAAGAAAGTATCTCTGTGTTATAGATTGAATGATTTGTCTGAGGTTATTATATTGTAAATAATAAATCAGGAATTAGATAAATAATACATGTATTTGATTCCAAGTTCAGTGTACCTCTCACTAAAACAAAATTTAATTTAGTTTATCAAATGAGTTTGATACTCATTTTGATACTCAACCCAACCACATTGAGTTGATCTTAGCAATAAGAGAGAGAGAAGTTTTTACTCAAGGATTTATTTTTATTTTTTATTTTATTTTTTGGCAGTATTGAGGGTAGAACTCAGGGGGAATTCTTTCTCTTAGCTATAGCCCTACCCTTTTCTATTTTTTTTTTTTTTTTTTTGAGACAGGGTCTTGATAAATTGTCAATGTTGGCTTCAAACCTACAATTCTCCTGCCCTAGCCTTCTGAGTCTCTGGGATTACAGGTGTGTACCACTGCATCCAGCACTACAGGCACATATTTGATATTTGTTTGATAGGCCAAGAGCCTCAAACTAAGCACACTTTTTTTATGTGACACAGGGTTCTTACATTACTTTAATATCAGAAAAATAGCTATTAATTAAATAGGCAAGTTTCTCTATCTCTTCATTGTTGACATGTTGGGCCAGATAACTTTTTTGTGTGTGGAATTTTGAGGAACTGTGCTGTGAGTTATATTTAGCAGCATCCCTACTCATCAGATATCAGTAGCATCCTGTAGAGAGCTACTGAAAAATATAAAAATAAGTACATTGACAGTAAAGGTGCTATCCAAGAATAAATGTATCAATCTAATGATTATTACTGATCATTTTTATTAACAAGAAGTACTTTATGGGCTTTAAGCAGGCAATAGTTTTTGACATTTTGCATTTCTTGAAATAAGATTTCAACGTGAAATTTAAAAATTCTATACTTACTTTTCGTAACTCATCAGAAATGAGAAATGGATCACAAAAAGAATCTAAACACTTAACAATATGACCATTGTCTCGTACAATATCTTCATCATATAACCGATTAAAAAATGACATTGAAAGCTGTGTGCAAGGAACATTTATAGCTTCAATTTTTTTCACTTCAGTTCCTGGAAAAAATATTTTAAAAAGGGATAGATAAGTTAATATTTTCAGTTCTAAAATAAATCACAATGCAGAGACCTAAGAAATAACCAAATATGACATTTTGATATGCGTTGCATGAAAATGTTTTGGTCAATGATGGCTATATACAATATGGTGGTTCATAAGATTTAATGGAGCTAAAAAATTCCTACTGCATTTTGATGTTGTAGATGTCTTTAACATCATAGTGCAACGTATAACTCACATTTGTGGTGATGCTGGTTCAAGCAAACCTACTACACTGCCAGTCATATAATAGAATAACATACAATTATGTACAATACATAATACTTGATAATGTCAATACATGACTACGTTCTGGTTTACATATTTACTGTATTACACTTTCTATCATTATTTTAGAGTGTATGCCTTCTATTTATTAAAAAAAGGTGAACATAAAATGTGCTGTTTTGAGCTAGAAGTAGCTTTATACATCTCATGTTTATTGCATCTCTTGATTATAGCAAGAGGTCACATTGAAAAAATTGACCCATACCATCTAGATTTGTGTAAATACACTTTTATAATGTTCATATTACTAAAGATGAATTTCTCAGAATATATTCCATTGTCTAACAACATATAGCTGTACTTAAAAGACATATTAGTTTGGGGATTTTATTAAATTCTTATGTTGCAGCTTATTTGTTTTTAATTAATAATTCAAACATTATAACAAAATCTTACCATTTCAGGACTAGAGGAGCTAAATTGGAGAATACTTGAAAAGTAAGCACACTTTTTTTATGTGACACAGGGTTCTTACATTACTTTTAATATCAGAATTGCCTATAAAAGAGGAGGAACTGCTGAGCATGGTGGCGCACACCTGTAATCCTAGAGGCTTGGGATTCTGAGACAGGAGGATCACAAGTTCAAGGCTAGTCTCACAAAAAAAAAAACAAAAACAAAAAACAAAGAAACTTCTTTATGTGATCTTTGGATTTGCATCATGCTCAATGTTTTATAATCTGTACCACAAAATTTTAGTTAATGGATCTTGAAAACATTTTCTCGTTTAAAATTTTCTCCTTTGTGATCTCATTTATAGTGTTTATTACAAAAAAGTTTCCAAGCCAAAGTAAATTTCAAAGCAGGCTTAGTTAAATTATCACAAGTTCAGAATTATAGAAATTTGAAAAAATGGCATTTTGTCTATTTTTCTTTTATACAGCTTTAGTTTTTCTCCTTTCTACCTCTTCCCCAATCCCACATGTATTTCCTGAAGGTACTTTCAGGAATGGATTTTCAATTACTAAAGTTTCCATTAAATTACAGAAAGGCACAGATTAAAATGAATGTTTTTATGATTATATCAAATAATTATTCCCCCTCTCTTTTATGTACACACACACACACACATTTACTCAGATATAAGAGGATGGTATTCATTTGTTGATTATATCAAATAATTATTCCCCCTCTCTTTTATGTACACACATACACACACATTTACTCAGATATAAGAGGATGGTATTCATTTGTTCAAAGTTTTAAGGAGCTTATAGACCTAGGTGTGGTGGCCCTTGGCGTATCCTCTTCCTGGATACTTTTGCTAAACCTCTGACCTGAAAAGTAGCTTGTGCTTAAGAAGAGTAATTAAAACTGGCAGTTGTTTGCACTTCCTATTTTGGCTGTCCACCTAAAGTCATGCTAGGACCTGTTGCTGTAGGTTATGAACCTTAACTAGGCTAGTGTGGAGACAAGAAGGATGCCTGGAGCCAGGAACTATGTATGCCTCAGTAATTGCAAAAGCTATGATGCCAAGAGAAGCTCCTTTTGTTTCAGAGGCAAAATCCTCTTGGGGATAGATAAATTTAAAAGAACATAGAGAATGATAAATTAGTTCTGAGTATTGTTGAAAGATTAAAGACAAGAGCAGTATATAGCAGGTCAGTGGTTGGTGGCCACAGGATGAGGGACCTATGACACTGGGACACATGCCATTTTAATAAATCTACCTCAGCTCTGATTTGGGGAGTGGCAGGAAGGTTTGGTTAGTAAGAAATGGTAATTAAATTCAAATCACTTAAACTGAGGCATGAAAATAGCATTTGCTATTGACTGGATTATATGCCTTAAAAATTTACATGTTGCTCCTCAGATACATTGGTATTCAGAACATACAAAGAACTCAAAAAATTTAACACCAAAATCAAATAACCTAAACAATAAATGGGGAAAAAAACTAAAAAAGACACTTCTCAAAAGAAGAAATATAATGGTCAAAAAATATATGAAAAAATGTTTAACATCTCTAGCAATTAGGGAAATGCAAATTAAAATGACATTGAGATTTCATCTCTAGTCAGAATGACAAATGATAATAAATGTTGGTGAGGCTGTGTGAGGAAAAAGATGCACTCATACAATGTCAGTAGGACTGTAAATTAGTTGCAAGTACTCTGGAAAGCAGTATGATGATTCCTTAAAAAACTAAGAATGGAACCCCCATATCCCACTTCTCAGTATAAAACCAAAAGATCTAAAATCAGCATTATATGGTGACACAGCCAAATCAATGTTTATAGCAGCACAATTCACAATAGTCAAATTATGGGACAAACTTAAGTGCCCTTTGAACAGATATAGAAAATGTGAAAACACACACACACACACACACATAAAATGGATATATATATATATGTATATATATATAGATATATATATAAAGATATATATATATAAAGATATATATTCTATACACACACACACATATATATATATACATATACATACATATGCATACATATGGACTCCCTACACTCCCTACACACAATGGAGTATTACTCAGCCATAAAGAAGGATGACATTATGGCATTTGCTGGTAAATAGACAGAACTAGAGATTATGCTAAGTGAAATAAGCCAGCCCTCAAAAGTCAAAGGTTGAATGTTTACTCTGATATGTGGATACTAATCCAAAATAAGGGGAAGGGGGGATAAAGAAACAGAAAAAAGATCAATGGAGTAGATGAAGGGGATTGAAGGGGAGGGAGGAAGAAGGATAAGGAAAAAACAGTGGAATTAATCTGACCCAATTTTCCTATGTACATATATGAATATACCACAGTGAATCTCACTATTGTGTATATCCACAAGACACTAATTTAAAAAAAAAAAAATATATATATATATATATATATATATATAACTAAAGAGCAAAAAGATCAGTAGAGGGAAGGGAACAGGGAGTGAGAGGAGGGGAGAAAGTGAAGTAAGGGGTACTAAATTAGAATCAATTATATTCTATGCTTTTATAATTCTGTCAAAATGACTTCAAATGTTATGTATAACAAGAACCAATAAAACGAAGACATTAAAAAATAAAAATAATGAATTTGCATGTTGAAACCCTAATTCCCAATGTGATAACATTTGGAGTTGGGGCATTTGGGAAGTAATTAAGGACAGATGATGCCATGGGAGGTCAAGGGGCTTCTAAATATGAATTTATGCAACACAATTCAGTCAATAGCATTTCACTCTTAGTTACCCAAAGCCATTAATTACTCTTCTCACATGCAAAGTATATTCATTTCATTCCAACAGCTCCCCAGAATTTAATTTACTCAATCATCAATTCTGAAGTCTAAAGTTCAAAGTGTCATCTAAATTGGATATGGGTGAGATTGAGGTATCATTCACCCTGAGGCAAAATTTCTCTCTAGCTATAAACTTGTGAAATCAAACACATTATATGCTTCTAAAATACAATGACTGGATAGACATGGGATAGTCACTTTATTTTGGCAGTGGGAGAGAGAGAAATGGGAAATTAAAGAATGGGTGATAGGTGCCAAGCAAGCCCATAATTTAGCAAGGCAAATTCCTTTAGATCTTAAGGCTCAAAAATAATCCTTTTTTTGCTCTATACTCTGCCTTCTGAGCCCACAGATGTGATGGTCTCAACTCTGCCTGGGTGGAGGCAAAGCCCTCAGGCACCAGGTGGCCCAATCCCTAAGGTTTTACTGGGTCAGCTTGGCTCTGCAGGGTGGCACTGAATTTGAGGCTTTGGTTGGAGGCTGTCTGGTCTGTTGAAATGGAGGTGGTGGCCCTAATGATCTCTGAATTGCCTTTGGAGTCTTCCCTTTTCTTGAAGACTAGTTCATATTTGCAGTCAAATAGTGGAGTCCTATAGGATCTAAGAGGTCCAACACCCTTCATTCATTTCAGCTTGCTTTTTTTTGACTCCTTTAGCTCAAACTAGCAGTGTCTTCACTGGTACAATTCCATCTCTATTCCTGGTTTCTGAAATCTCCTCAGGTAAATTTCTGATTTTATCACTTGCAAGTTCTACCGTCCATAAAGCACTTGAACACAGTTCAGCCAAACTATTTGTCACATTATAACAAAGAGAACCTTTCTTCCAGTTTCCAATATAATGTTCCTCATTTCCTTCAGAGCTGTCACTAGAATTGACTTTAACATTCACATTTCTAGCATGTACTTCAAAATTCTTCGAGCCTCTACCAAGAGGCTTCCCAAGCCACTCTATACTTTTAGCTATTTGTTATGGTAGCGCCATATTTCTTGATGATATATTAATTATATTATAGATTAATATATTAATCTATTCTAGAATCTGGGAAATCCAAGATCAAGGTGCAAATGATTTGGTTCCTGACTTGCAGATGGTTGATTTCACACAGCATAGAGAGCATTCTAGTGTTTTTTCTTATTATAAGGGAACTAATTCCATAAAAAAGGTCCCATACTCATGCCTTCATCTAAACCTAAATTCCTCCTAAAGGTCCCATTTCTAAATACCATCAAAATGAGGGTTTAGAGTTTACACATATGAATTTGGAGTGGGGGCATAACTCAGTCTATAGCACATGCTAACTTGTTATGTAGTAATTTTATAAAATTTTATCTTCAACATTTATAAGACATGTATCACTATGACCGCATAAAATTAAAATGCATTTTTCCCACTAATAGTAGCATTATAAGATGCTAGATGCTTCCTTTATATATATATATTTATTTTTTAGTTTTCAGCGGATGACACAACATCTTTGTTTGTATGTGGTGCTGAGGATCGAACCCGGGCCGCACGCATGCCAGGTGAGCGCGCTACCCCTTGAGTCACATCCCCGGCCCTAGATGCTTCCTTTTTATTTGATGTCTTAAGTTAATACTTTTCTGGCAGCCATATAAACATGGAAGTGACAGATGTGAAAGAGTGTAGGGAGTCAAGGTCTTAAATTCAGGAGCCTGGATTTGAATCTCAACTATATCCAGCCAGCATATAAAACTGCACAGATAATTTAGCTTTGGCTCTCACTCATTCATAAATTACAGATGTATAATGATCTCTGTGTTAAAAGAAGTAATGTGTATGCCTTTAGCATCCATTATATGTTATCTAAAAAAAGCAAAGAATGTCTAAACCATGGGGCTATGCTGCTGAGATGATGGAGCACAAATAATAGGCAACGTGGGCAGTACAGCTGGTAGTAAAGGAGGGTCCATCATCATTTTCTCTGGAATTGGTTCACCTGCTAGAATAATACCTCTTATTTCAAAACAAAAATTTTTTTTGCATATAAAGGCCTCCAGAGGAACATTCAAAGGAAGATGTCCAATACACAAGGAAAAGAACAAGAAAAGTTAAAGAAAAAAAAAAAAAGCTGATGGAAGAGGACTAGCAATCTACCAGAATTGCTTCTAAAATGGAATACTACTTTTCTGTCCTATTTTCCAGAGTACTTCTAATTGATCCTGTTAGGCACATGTGGAATTTTAGAACTTATCTTTTTGCAATGCCTTATTAAAAAATCAGAAAAAGTTGGTGCTGTTTTGTGAAGTGTGTACCAATATAGGGAAGGTTGAACACTTAACTTCAGTAAACCTTATTTTTTTCAAATGGATTGACTGAAACTACTGTAATACATGGCTCTGATTATTCCTTTTTGAAAAATTTGAAGCATTACATATATTTGCTCAGATATTCAGTTCAATTTTGTAAGTAGTCTAAAGATCATTCGTACCAGTTTTCTGCTCTATAAATTTTGCAGTAGTCTTTAGCCAAAGCAATAAAGTTTGACCTGCTTAGTCTAATATCATGAACAATTTGTAATCTTCTTCTTAAAATAATACTTTAGGAAAAATTACTTTTGTGTGACCACTACTAGAATTCCATGAAAATACAGTTGTAGGATAGTTTATCAAAAGTCCCCAATGCCCAAACAAAATAACTAATTTAAAATCAGTTTGCATATTGAGTACAATCACATTGCCAGATTCTCCTAAATGTAATGATGCTTTTACTTGTTCTAGTGTTGAAACCTCAAACTTAAATTTAAAATATAGTATTCAAAGTAAGCCAAATTTAGAAAGTCAAGGATTGGATGTTTTCTCTCATATTGGATGCTAGAGAGGAAAAGGGGAAAGAAAGGTGGGGATGGGGATCTCATGAAAACTTAAAGGAGATTGATGGAGTAGAAGAAAGGGAACGGGGCAAGAGAGGAGGGAAGGGAAAAGGGAAATATTGGGGAATAACACTGGCAAAATTATACTCTTATATTGTGTGCATGTACAAATATGTAATAATAAATCCTACCATTATGTGCAATTATAATGCACCAATAAAATATGAAAAAAATAAATTTAAATGATTAAAAAAACGAAATAGAACAGATTTTAAATGTCTTTGTCACAAAGAAATGATAAGTATTTGAGGTGATGGATATGCTAATTACCTTGATTTGATCATCATATAATGTACACATATATTGAAACATCATGATTTATCCTATAAATATGTATAATTGTGTCAATTAAAAATAAAAAAACGTGTGCTGGGTTTGCAGCTCAGTAGTAGAACAATGGTTATCACACATGAGGCACTGGGTTCACTCCTCAGCACCACATATAAATAAAATAAAGGTATTGTGTCTACTTACAACTAAAAACAATATTTAAAAATAAAAAAAATAAAAGTCTTCTAAAAACATAAAAATCAAGAAAATATAGTGTTCATGTTTTGCTTCCAAAACAGTCTTATTAACACTGATTTCTTTCTTGACCTATTTAAGAGATTTAAATGAGTGTTGTTAAGTAATTAAACATTTAGGTAACTTTCTTTAAAAATTCCTACCTGGGGGCTGGGATGTGGCTTAGAGGTAGAGTGCTTGCCTAGCATGCGTGAGGCACTGGGTTCAATTCTCAGCACCACATAAAAATAAAGGTAAACTAAATATATATATATACATATTTAAAATATATACATATATTTAAAAAAATACCTAACTGTATTTCAATGTATTATGACAATATTATTTATACAAATTTGAGATTTTAAGACACTTCTCCACAACTTAATATATTATTTTAAAAAAACATTCTATGGTAGCTGATTCCTCTTCAGAAATCCATGCCCCCATCAGAATGGAAATTTTTGCCTAAGCATCCTCATATTAGTCTATCTTTCCTGATCCTTTCCCTCTGGGTAGAACTGACCACTCCTCACCTCATGCTCCCATTTTTATGGTAGAACATATAATACATTATTACACACACCACTCTCTCTCTCTCTCACACACACACACACACACACACACACACACACTTCAACAAGTTCCTTGAATACAGGTTTTCTTTTATCCACTTTATGCTCCCTGAATCTAGCAGAGTACATAGGAGGTGCACAATAAATACTTTTTAAAAATACATACTTTTTAAAATCAATAAAAAGGAAAATTACTCTTAGGTTCTGAACCAGGACAATATCAGTAGACTACTGGGAGAGATGCAGAGCAGGCCTGGTACGACTGGTCAAATTTAATTTTTTTTTTTTCCTGTACCAGGGATTGAACCCACCACGGGTGCTTTACTACTGAGCTATATCCCAACACTATTTATTTTTTACTTTGCGACAAGGTCTTGCTAAGTTGCTTAGAACCTCACTAAGTTGCTGAGGCTGGCTTTGAACCTGAGATCCTCCTGCCTCAATCTCACAAATTGCTGGGATTACAGAAATGCACTACTGAATCCACTACTTTTAATCCTCCTGTCTCAGCTTCCCAAGTAGCTGGGATTACAGGGGTGCATCACCACACCTGGCTCAAAATTTGTATTTTAATAATGAAAATTTTGGGGGCAAAATTTTGTTATAATAGCAAAATAGTCACCTGGAAAGATGAAATTTTATTTACCTAATGTAATCCACTGTCCAGAAGAATCTGAAAGTAACTGCAAATTTGGAATAACATTTGGGTCTTTGAAAAAAGCCTAAAATACAAGTTGGAGAAGAACATGTTAGATATTTTATTATAAATAATAATAAAATCAACTTCTAAAATTACTTTAGTAAAATCTAAACTAGGAAGGACCCTTTCATATTGGTAAAGAAGTTTTATTACATTCAAATTGGAACAGCGTAAACAGCAATGTGTCTCTAAGTACAGATAAATTTGGGGAATTAATAAATGGAAAATGGTTTATAGTAAAAATTAGGAGAGTATATATTATCTGAAAACTTTATTTTCCTCCTATCTTATTTTCTGAATTAATCTCCTTAATAACCATTAATACACTGGATCTAAATCTAAAACTAACCACCCACCAATCTAAGTCTATCCAAGGGAGCACATAGCAAAGTGACAGGTTTGACTTGCTATAAACAAATTTTCTATCTGACAAAAGGCAACATTATGGGCTGAAGATTTAGCTCAGTAGTAGAGCACATGCCTAGCATATGTAAGGCCCCGAGTTCAATCCCCAGAACCACATAAATAAATAAAATGTAAAAGGCAACATAGTAGTCAATCAAGAATTTTATTATCAAGTACTAGCAGCTGACTCTGGCTGAAAGGTAGAAGACAAATGAAAAGCATCTCAGGCAATCTACAAAACTTCAGGCTTCAGTTTACACATTTGGAATGATATAAAATCACATGAAGAATTGCTCTGATGAGGAAACTGTCACCTTTGTTGCAGCAGCCCCATAAAGCACTAGATAAAGCTATTACCACTTCTATTTCCTAAGTCTGCTTGGTGTGTTTATAAATCAAGTGTATTTATATCAGCCATAGACACTATTACTACTTGTTTCTAACCAAGCCACTACTGTGATGCTTCTGCCACCACTTTTGTCAGTGAAATGGATTCTGTGTGCATCTTAAGTTGTTCATTTCAAAATCACAGTCTTGAAATTATCACTCTGGTTGGTAACCTAGGTACCTTGCTTAATGTTCATCTCCCCTACCCTCCTTCCCTGTGTTGGAGATTGAACGCAAGGTTTCACACATGCCAATTACTCATTCTATCGCTTATGTAACTAGCCCTAGGTCTTGTGTTCTAAATGTAAGGGAGAAGATCCTTGCAATTTTGGGGGAGAGGAGGGGAGGGGAGAGTTCCACTTGGACTTCCAAAAAGCAAAGGGTCGAAATTACCCCCAAATCATAAGGGTGTTCAAAAGTGCTGGGCAGCCAGAAAATATATCAGTGATGAGCAATTTAATCAAAGAAAAACAATAGACTGAGAGAAAATATTTCCAACAAATATGATAACAAAGAGGGGGAGCTAATTCTCAATATTTTTTTTTAAAAGCTCAAAATTTGTAAGAAAAACTGACAACCTGATTTAAAGCTGTTCAAAGAATAAAAACAGGTGTGTAAAAAATGCAAATAGCCAATAATTATGAAAAGATGCTCAACTTCAAGAGCAGTGAAAGAAATGAAATCAGAAATCACATGATAACATGTTAACCCCACTACATTGCCACCCCCCCCAAAAAAAAAAAGGGTAGGTTTTTTTTTTTTTTTTTTTCCTTTGTTTTGTTTTTTCAGTTCTGGGCATTGAACCCTGGGCCTTGTGCATGCTAGGCAAGTTCTCACAGTCCTGAGTCATATCCCTAAATCCTGAGACTGGTAACTTTTGGCAAGAGTAGTAGAAAATATGCATTCTTACAAGCTGCTGTAAGTGTAAATCTTTACAACCTTTTGGGAAAGTAATGTTATTATCTTGAATAATAAAAACGTGAGTTAATTATGATCCTGCAAACTCTACTTTTGGGTTTTGAAACCACTAGCAGGCATATTTATGTATAAATCTTCTTTTTTGTAGAATTGTTTGTGGGGTCAAAATCTGGAAACCACTTCAATGTCCATCAATAGAAGCATGGTTGAATAAAATATACCAGACAGAATTCAGCTACTAGAAAAAAGCACTAAAACAAATTGTAAGCTTCCTAAGTAGTGGAACTTGCTTTTCTTACTCATTGCTATATCTGTAGTGCTTAGAATGGCCTGACATAAAGTAGTTACTCAATAAATTTTTCCTAAATGGGTATTATGACTTTGAGGGAAAAAATCATAAATATTTAAAATCTCCCTGATAATAAAAGGTAGTTAAGAGTAATGTGTATGATACTCTAACATCTATATGCACATAAAGAAAAATATGGAAGAATATATACAAACCTTTTAGATGAGGTGGTTATAGATTTGTGGAAGAAGATGGTTAAGGGGATGGAAGGTAATTTTAGATTGGGATAGAGAAATATCATTTTTTCCTATGAATTGTTCTTTATTGTTTAAATTGTTACAATAAAAACTGTTACAATAAATATTTTCCTGTTTTTAATATCCCCTTCAAGCAACCATTTTTCCTAAATAGCTTATTGAAGAAGCAATCTGTCTTACTTCTTTATCAACCACTCATTCCTCTTATCTTGCTCCTCATTTCCTTTATTTAACTAAAATATTCTTTACTTCCTAATTCTAAAATTCAATAGACATAATATGCCTGCCCTCATGGAGTTTATAGACAAAAAAGGAAGATAGTAATATGCTGTATTATTACAAAGGAATGCAAGCTATCCATGCTTGCAAAGGAGTGCTATCGATGTACATAATAGGTAGTCCTAATCTAATGGTGTTGGAAAGAAAGGTTGGTGAAAAAATTAATTAGGTTTAGAACTAAAAGGTGAGTAGGAGTTAGCTGGGCAAGAGGTATTCTGGTAAATGTTTAACAACTGACCTCCCTTCCTCTCCCTAAAGCCCTGATTTGTAACATTTACCAGTTTTCATTGTGTATTTCAAGCTGCCAGCAGTTTAACAATCAGCAAACAAAGATTATTGAAAATTTAGCAATCTAGCTCTCCTGAACTGGTTCCAGCATGCTACTAGAAAGACTAGGTGGGGAAAACGTCAAGTTTAAAGGCTCTAAAATAAGAAAGGATGGGACATTCCAATGGAGGAAAACAAAGAGGTTTAGCATAACCATAATAGGAGCTGCAATGGTCAGATGAGGGTAGGAGTTAAACTGGACCTTGTAGTCAAGTGAAGAATCTTGACCTAAAAACTATCTAAATCTTGGTCAGAATTTTGATCTAAAGGCAGTGGGAAGACACAAAAAAATTTGTTATCAGAGGACAGAGTGATTAAATCATATTTTTAAAAGTTCATTCTAGTTTCAGTTTGGACAGTGAATTGAAGGGCTATAAAGAGACTATTCAGGAGTGAGATTCTGTTGGCAGAAGCATTGATGTTCACAGCAGTCAAGGTGCTAGCTAGTGGGAAATGGATGGATTTGTTATTTAGGGGGAAGGAGTTGGGGGGAGAGAAATCAAAGGTGATTCTTGAGATTATTTTGTGAAATAATTAGAATGAATGTTATGCCATCAGAAAGACAATGATGAGAAGCCAGGCACTGTGTTGCAGACCTGTAATTTCTTACTTGGGAGGCTGAGGCAGAAAGATCACAAGTTTGAGGCCAGCCTGGGGAATTTAGGGAGAACCTATCTAAAAATAATAAAAAGGGTGTGGGTATAGTTCAGGGGTAGAGTGCTGGTGTAGCATGTGTGGGGACCTGGGTTTAATCTCCAGTACCATTAGGGAGAAAGTGGGGGCAGGGGTTGGAGGACAGAGAAGGAGAGGGGGGAGAGGGAAAGGGAAAGGGAAAAGGAGAAAATAAAGAGAATCAGGTGTGAGAGGTGTGAATTATTTATGTCTACATGAAGCTAAGCAAGAGGAAGTTTCTATTCTCATGGAATTTACATTCTATTGGTGGGAAGTAAAGAGTAAACACATTAAAAAAAAAAAAAAAAAAAAAAAAAAAGAGGCCTGCACACCTATAATCCCAGCAACCCAAGAGGTTGAGGCAGGAGGACCGCAAGTTCAAGGCCAGCAACTTAATAAGATCCTACTCAAAATAAAAAAAATAAAAATAAAAAGGTCTGGGGATATAGCTCAGTGGTAAAGCACCCCTGGGTTCAATCCTCAGTACCTTTTTTTTTAATTAAAAAAAAAAAAAGGTATTATATTTGCCTGATTTATTTTTTTAAAAATCCTTAAAATTATTCCTTAAAAATTCTATCCTTATTGCTTTTTGAAGACTTTCAAATTGAAAGTATTTGTGCAACTATTTTAATTTACATAATAATACATTTTGCAGAGGACACATGGCTGAAATTAACTTCAATTAACACTGGTTTTGGAGGAGCATTTAAAAAAAAATTTTTTATACTTCTGGGATTTGAACTCAGGGCCTCACACATGCTAGGCAAGAACTCTACTACTGAGCTATATCCCCGGCCCTTAACATTGGTTTTTGAATACCTTATAGGCCTTCTGAAAGAACTATTTTAAAAGAGAGAAATCTAATTCAGATTCAGTCATTATTCCTGGGAGTTATTAACTTCAGATCACATTTTAGATGTCATAAATTGAATTAGACCAACTGCTCTGCAACAAGTTAACCTACAGCTAATGTAAATAAATTTTTATAAAGTCCCCTTAAATAAAGCAGTGTAAGTTGTATTACTGAAATTATAATTATACATCTAAAATGGTTTTTAAAAAATATTGTTCTTATATGTGTAAATTTTTGATTTGTTACAGAATTTCCAGTGAGGCATTAGAAAGGATTTTCTGTGTCACAGCTTTCAGAGAACTGATGAGATCTGGAAAAATATTAGATGATTCATAAATGAGTAAAAATAAAGATATTTAATAAAGGAATAAATAAATTAATAACAAAGATATCAATGTCAAATGTGCATTTTAAATAAATTTGTTTCATAATGTAATGTAAGATATTGACTATATTACCTACCTGGCTGGTTTCTAATTCAATATCAATCCTCTCTTCCTTAAATAATTCTGATTTTATTGGGGATAGCTATGTATTCAGTTAAATCTATTTCTTTGCCTCCCTGGGATTTGGTAATATACTTAAGTTCTGGTCATGAGATGAAAGCACAAGGGTTGTGCAGCCATTTTGGAAAGCTCTGCAAATTAAAAGCCTTCTTTGCCAGTTGCTGTGCAAAATTCCCCTCATAATATCTAGTACAATAGTGAGGATGCCAATACTATATATTGAGGCTATAGCTCGCTTAACGCCAAATTAGACATTGTACTCAACTACCTAGAATACTGCCACTTGGGTGCACCTCTTGTTAAGCATGCCTAACACTAAACTTAAGTTTCCTTATTTAATCTATATTTCCTATGATTTAATAGCATCAATCAGCTTCTCCAGCCAACCAAGACAGAAACATGGGATTAATTCATCCTGTATGTCCCTCTTTCCCTTATTCTCAAGAACTTATTAGTCCTTCAACATTTCTCCTGAACAGCTCTCCTCACCATTCAAATGTTAGTCTTAATTCAGGACATTACCATATACTGTTTAGAGGACAATGGTTCATTTTGTTTCCCTCTTTGTCTATTCTTTTGTACAGATGTAGGAACTAAAGAAGTTTGCTAGATATATATTTCCTTCCTTGAATTCATTTACTACCTTACAAATGAACTTTTAAAACATAACTTGTTTTTAAGTTGAATGGGGACATTCAAAATCTGGAATTCTTGTTTAAGCAATAACTTTTGTTCATTTAACAAGTCTGTGCAGTAGAAAGAGTATGGCATTTAAAATAAAAATCTCTTTGCTGGGCATTCTCAGACAAATTACTTAACTTTTCTGAATTGGTAGTTTTCTCAGCTATAAAACGGGGGTCAAAACAGCAATCTTGGGGTTGAAGTTGTAGCTCAATGGTAGAGTGCTTGCCTAGCATATGGGAGGCCCTGGGTTCAAACCTCAGCATCACATTAAAGGAAAAAAAAAAAACAGGGCTGGGTGGTGGCTCAGTGGCAGAGTGGTTGCCTCACACATGTGAGGCACTGGGTTCAACCCTCAGCTCCACATAAAGTAAAATAAAGATATAGAAAAAATTATTAAAAAACCCACCAATCTTACCACATTGTTGTAAAGATTAGTGATAAATGCGTTAAAAATGCTGGAAGCTAAATCTAGCACACAGGAATCACTACTGCTCTAGAAGAATTCCTTATAATGTATGATGGACAAATGTTAGTAACAATAATAACACTATATGCCAAGCGTTTTTGCTAAACATGTCATATGCTGCCTCATTTAATCTTCAGAACAGTCAATATAATTTCTATATTCAAAATACTTATCAAACACGTATTATACATGAAGCACTGTGATTATTTTGCAGAAAGGTAAATGGAGGTTTTTCAAGGAAGGTTATTAAGTAACTTGCCCAATGTCACATAGCTTATGAGTGGCAGAGTTGGAATTTGAACCCACAGCTAATTAAAAGACCAAATCAAGGGAGAATCCAAGTTTTATAGAGCTTGGGGCTTTAAACAGTTTTATGAGCTCTAAGAATACAAAAACATCTTATTTTTGAAATATTTTAAAAAACATATGACCATGAGCATACTGCTTGAGTCTCTCAGTATTTTGCAAGTGAAGAAGTTGGTCAATGAGAAGTACTCATTTGTTTCAAGCCACACAAGATTGTGCAAGCCTACAGTCCTAGGTACAAGAGAAGCTGAGACAGGAGAAGCAAGAGAGCCCTGGAATTTGAGACTAGCCTGGGGAAAATAGTAAGACCCTGTCTGGGGGGTGGGGGGGGAAGATGTATTAGCTTCGGGGTAAATCCCCTCTGGGTCATCTCTTAGCCACAAGTTTTATTTACATCCAAATTAGTTATTTGAATACAAATGAGTGTATATTTGTTTGAACTAAAATCTAGGCATAACACTGTTCTGCCTCATGGGAATAAAAATAAGGATAAACAAACATGAAGAATTTCAAAATTAGAAAAAAATTGTTTGGAATTATGGAAATATGTTGTATTTTATGGATAATCTGTTGAAAATCTCAATCTATTAAACAACCAAAAAAAAAAAATTCTATAACCTCCTCAATAAAATCTTCCCCCAAGTCAATGCCCTTTTGTTGGGGTGATCTTTTTCTCTGTGTCTAGGACATCTTCTATGTCCTCCATCAATATAATTATTTGATTGTATAGAGATTTTTTGTGTTGTTGTTAATTTCTAGTTTCCCAAACTGTATATACCTTCTAATCTGGGGTCAGGTCTCTTTACCTTTTTATCACACAGTAAGTATTAAACAAATATGTATGTATGTGTGTGTGTGTATGTGTATATATATATTTGTACTGGGGATTAACTCCAGGGTAGCTTTACCACTGAGTTACATCCCCAAACTTTTAAATTTTTTTGTTATTTTTGAGATAAGGTCTTGCTAAATTGTTGAGCCCAGCCTTAAACCTGTGATCTTCCTGCCTCAGCCTACCAAATCACAGATGGGTACCGCTACCCCAGGCTCAACAAATATTTTTTTCCATATTTTTTATTGGTGCACTGTAGCTGTATATAGTGGTGGAATTTCAACAAATATTCCTTGAATAAATGAGTTAAATAAAATTTTTTATAGCACTCTAAAATTCAGCAGATTAAAATTTTTTACTTTTTTCTAAAAAAAAGTTGAATGACAATAGTGGTTTAATTAAAAACTATAAAAAGTTATAAAAACCTAATCATAACTATTCATAAATGTCATTAATAGTAGCATTGTATTATAACATCATTATAACACTATTTTAGAGAAAGGGAAATAGACAACCAGTTTACCCTGTTAGGGGTTCAACAATATCCCCTCAAAATTTTTGTCCTTCTTGAAACTTCAGAAAGTGACCTTAGTTGAAAATAGGGTTGCTGTAGATGTTATTAGTGAAGATAAGATTATATTAGAGTAGGTGGGTTCTTAACTCAGTATGAATGGTGTCCTTAGAAGAGAGGAGACACAGACACAAGAGGGGAGAGAGACATGTGACTTTGATAGAAGTGGAGTTTAAAGTGCCATGTTGTAAACCAGAGAATGCCAAGGATTACTGGTAACTATCAGAAAGTAGAAAGAGGCAAGGAAGTACTCCTGTATAGGTTTCAGAAGAACCATAATTCTACCTTGATCTCCGACTTCTAGCCTCCAGAACTCTGAGACCATCTGACCTAGTGTTTCCTCTTGTTCACTGCACTTATCACTGTAGGAAATGATCTAATTTTGTTTATTGGCAGTCTTTCCAAGGGTTCATAAGATCCTCAAAAGCTGGGCTCTTGCCTTGGTCCTCCTTGTATCCCTAGCACTTGAGGAAATTCCTAGTACACTCCAGGTCCTCAGAAAGTGTAAGAGCAAGTAAATGAATTATGCCAACTATAAAAGACTTGAGTTTATAGCTGTTCAAAGGACATGAACAGCAAAGAATAAGGGTAATTTCACAAACCCTACCAATATTTTCCAATTGATTGAGGAGTGGAAAAAAAGATGGAAAATAATGGGACTAATTTTAATAAGCACATCAAAACTTATTGTTTGTTCTTTTTGTTTGATACTGAGGATTAACCCCAGGAGTGCTTTACTATTAAACCCCATTCCCAGCCCTTATTGTGGCTTGTGTCTGTAATCCCAGCTAATTGAGAGGCTGAGGTGGGAGGCCAGCCTAGGCTTCATAGCCAACCCCACCTATTATGTTAAAGGGCTGGGGATATGGCTCTGTGGTACAGCATTTGCCTGGCATGTCATGCCCTGGGTTGGATCTGCAGCATCACAAAAAATGAAAAATAAGGTAAAAACAGATGTATAATCAAAGTAGTCACCCCTAGGTAAAGTCTTATTCGAGTCACCGTGTCATTGCTCAAAACTTTTTTGGTAAATTCCTTATTTGGAACTGGTGTTAGGGCCTGAAACCCAGTTCTCAGGGTGGCTACGATTTTGAGAAACGAGCAAAAATAATTAGGAGCTAAGCCTAGTAAATAAAGTCAATGATAAAGCTGAGTAGTAACATTAAGAAACGAGGTGTACCTACTAAAAAAACAAAATTCCCCAAATTGGAAAGGTTCTTTAAGGCAGGATCATGAAGGTAGAAAAAGAATAAGTTAAATTAAGAATAAATTTATGGTAGTGGGAAATGTAAAAATTCCTCTAAAAAATGTCATTGACACCTTTTATTACTCCCCATCTCCAAGAAAATGACGTCACTAAGGAATGGCGGTGTTCGTAAGAATCCATGCTGACGTGTGGGAAAGTTAAAAATCAGCAGTGACCCAAGAACTCTCCGAACCCCATACCAACCATAACGAAATCATCCTTCCGATAGGCTTGAAAGGTCTGGTCAAACCCGAACGCCTGGGCCTTGATTCTGCCCAGCATGGACCTGGAGCAGAGAGGATAAAAGAGTCAGCTTGGGACTGGCAAACTCTCACGGCGCAAAATACACGGGTCCTACCCACAGTATCCACCCTGCCCTAGTGTTACAGCTGCTTCAGAGTTTCTTTCACTCAGTATGAGGCCGACTCTGCTTAGACGCCCTCGACGCCCGGCCAGCGTCTGTCCCGCGCTTCCTCCACAGCAGCGAAGGCCGAGGAGCTCTTGTCTCCCCGTTCCTCGGTCCCTCACCACTGGCGGAGCCGGCTGGTGGTGTCTGAGGCGCTCAGAGATGGGAAGGTCTTCTGAGGCAGAAACCTGAAGTAGTAGCCGCCCAAGTCCCCAGGTTCCCCAGCCGCCATCGTGCTAATGACTGCACGAAAGGAGCCGTTTCCATAGAGACGCGGCGGCCGTCGGGGCGGGGCCACGGCGCAGGGGCGGGGCTACGCGTCTACCGAGAGCGCAGGCAGGTCCGCCAGGCGGGGCCAAAAGAGGAGGAAAAGCAGTTTGGTTTTCCAAGGAGTTTGCTCCAGGATTACGACCCGCACCCTTCTTGAACCCCAGGCTTATCGGTTATGGGAACTGGGGGTCGAGGATAGAGCAACACTCTCGATAGATGCTTGTTGACATTACTTCATTTTTTTTTTTTTTTTTTTATACTGGGGATCAAACTCAAGAGGGTCGCTAGACCCTGAGCCACATCTCCAGCCCTATTGTGTATTTTATTTAGAAACAGGGTCTCACTGAGTTGCTTAGCGCCTCGCTTTTGCTGAGGCTGGCTTTGAACTTGCGATCCTTCTGTCTTAGCTTCCCAAGCCGCTGGGATTACAGGCATGTGCTACCCGGCCTGGATGACATTACCTCTTAATAATTACTCAGCACAGGTTAATGTCCTACTCTCAAACACTACAAACTCAGATTTACAATTATCTAAGTTTGATGACTCAAAAGTTAATGAAAAAATTCCGTATTCATTAGATTTACTATTTTGTAAGATAAATGTCTATGTGACTACTGTGTCTAGTACTACTGATACTATCTGCCTCTCTCTCTTTTTGTTATATCTGAAAGGCTAAAATATGTTTCCGTATATACGCTGCACTACAACATCCTGATTAATAAGAGTCACAGTATTTGTTTTCTACTGAAAATTGCCTTTTGTATAGTTTTGTGAGGTTTTTTTTTTTTTTGCTTGTTTGTTTTGGTCTAGTAGTGGTTCATTGGGGAGCTCTTTTTTTTACCTCTTTACTTCCTCTCCTTTCCTCCCTGTTCATTTAGAACTGATCTTGAGGGGCTGGAGCCATAGCTCAGTGTTAGAACTAGCATGCACAAGGCCCTGGATTTGATCCCAAGCACCTAGAGGAAAACAACCTTATCTTGATTATTTCTTAGCAGCAGCAGCAGCAGCAGCAACAGGAGACAGGGGTTGGGGGAGGGTAAAGAAACACAGAGAATCATTCTGTTTTGTTCTTTAGCATTCCAACCCATTTCCATACCACAGTTTAGCCTTTTGGTTTATTTCCAATTCGAGATTATTAGGAAAGCTGCTATGAACTTTCGTATGTATATCTCTCTTTTTTTGTGTGTCCCCTCCCCACTCCTCAGTATGTCCTTTAATGACTTGCATACTTACTTCTTTTACAAATATATCCAGGATTGGAATTGCTCAGTTATACAATAAAAACATGTTTTACTAGACACTGACAATTCCCCCCCCCACCCCCAAATAATCAGTTTACACTCCAAATAGCAGTACATGAGATTTCCAGTGGTTCAACATTCTTGCCAAAGTCAGTCTTAAAATTTAATCTATTCTGGAGAGGTTGTATTAATTTCCCATTGTGATTTGTAATTTGCTTTTCCTTGATAGCTAATGTTTTGAGCAACTTTTTATAGACTTATTGGCTGTTTGGATATCTTCTCTGGTGAAGTACTTCTTCAAGTGTTTTGTCCAGGCTGTCAGTCTTTCTCTTATTAATTTTTATGAAGTTTTTAATAGTCTGGGTGTGAGTTCATTGCCAGATATATATATTGCAGATATTTTCTCTGCCTGTAATTTGTGTATAGCTTTGGTGCTCAGAAATTCTTAATTTTAATGAAGTATAATTTATTACCTTTTTCTTTTATGTGTCAAGTTTAATTTCTGCTTAAACAAAGTCATGAGTATAGTTTCATATTTATGTCCACAATCCATCTAAAAATAATTTTCTTTAAACTCAAGGTTATTTTCCATATTGGTTTCCAGTTGGCCCAGCCTATATATTGATAAAACCATTTATAACCCACTGAATTGCATGGGTTTTCCATTTATATTTTAGTTTATTTTTTCTGGTACTGGAGGTTGAACCCAGGGGCACTCTACCTCTGAGCTACATACCCAGCCCTTTTTATTTTTATTTTGAAATAGGGTATCATTAAATTGCTGAGGCTGGCCTCAAACTTGTGATCTTTTTGCCTTAGCCTCCCAAGTAGCTAGGATTTTAGGTATAAGACACTAGGCCCAGATTTATTATTTTTAAATAAATCAAGTGACTTTTTCTGGACAGTTTGTCCATTGGACTGTCCTTGCATCAATATTGCATTGTTTTAAGTACTGTAGCTTTATAAAAAGACCTAATATCTGAGGATGTGAAGCATCTAGCTTTGTTATTTTTTCTTCAAAATTGCATATTTTGGAGGGGCTGGGATTGTAGCTCAGTGGTAGAACACGTGCCTAGCACGTGTGAGGCACTGGGTTCGATTCTCAGCACCACATATAAATAAATAAAATAAAGGTTAATCAACAACTAAAAAAAAATTTAAAAAATTGCATATTGTGGAGAGCAGGCACAAACTGATAAATGAACTGTGCTAATAAGAATGCCCTTCTGTGAATTTATCAAATTAATCAGAAGGACATGGATGAGTGGGTGTATCAAAGTCAAATTGTAAAAACCAGGCCCACAAGCTTATTGAACATACCAGACCATCAAATGATGGAACCCTCTCACTTGAGACCCATAAAAGGAGGGGCACCCTGAGATGGACATGGCAGTACCTTGACCCTGTCACCTGGTCACTTGTCATGAGCCTTGCCCAGGAAAATCACCATAGCAATGAACCTTCAAATCTCTGTCCTTGGGTTTTAGCAGAGTGCAGTTTCTTCTGCTCATGATGACCATTCAAATCCCAATCCAAGCTGACATTTCAAGCTGACTGTGAAACTTCCATCTGTTTGGATCTTGGTCTAGAATGAGTTCTTGTGCTTTGACATCTCTGTGCCCTGAAAAAGTTGTTTTACTGGTTCATAATCTTATCTGACCACCTACAGTGATTCTTTGCATTCATATCTGCTCTCTGCCTTTGCTCTTAGTTCAATCTTCTGAACTCCTGTGACCTGGCCACCTTAACCCTTTCTTAGTCTTTCTGAAACCTATATATAATTGTGTATAAAGTGTGATTTGTGGATGTGTGATTTGAGTGTTACAGATATTAGAAATTAAGATTGGAGGGGCTGAGGCTGTAGCTCAGTGGTAAGTGCTTGCCTCACGTGTATGAGGCACTGGGTTCAATCTTCAGCACCACATAAAAACAAATAAAGATACTTTGTGTTAATTTACAACTAAATAATTTTTTTTTTTTTAAAAAAGATTGGAATATGATTGCCATGATTGCTTTGCTTATGACTACCAAGTGACCAACAAGTATTCAGTGGACTACCACTGATAAAAAGAGGATAGCCTGTGACTTTATTGTTATTCAATAAATTCTGATATTGTGGAGAGACAGAAACATGTTTAGTGTATGTTAATGACATAGCACACTCACAACCATATGTTATTACCTTTGCATTTTCATATAAGTCTTAAACAGATTTTATCATTTTCCATGAAAGAAATTGGACAGAATTTTGATAGGAATTGCATTGACATATTATATAAGTAAATTTTGGGGAGTACTCAACATTGTAACAATATTGAATCTTCCAATCTATTATAAATAAGATATATCTTCATTCAGCTCTTTAATTTCTCTCAACCATAACTTAGGAGTATTCAGTAGAAGAGTCTCGGCATCTTTCTGATTTTATTTTGTGTTACTTTAACAAAATAGCTGAAACTGGGTATGTTATAAGTAAAGAGGCCTATTTGGCTCATGATTCTGGTGCTGGAAGATTCAAACCATATGACACCAGAGTCCTATATGACATCAGATGGCTACCTCCTTTGACTGCATCATAACATAGTGGAGAAGCAGAATGGGAAGTGACCAAATGCAGAAGACCATGCGGGGTGAACTTGTTTTATAAAGCCCACTCTTGTGAGAAATAATTAACTCATATGAGACCCAAGCTACTCTCCCAGCATCAATTCATTCATGTAGGTGGAGCCCCTATTATATAATTACTTTTCACTAGACACTGTGTCTTAAAGGTCCTACCACTTCAGCACCACCACACTGTGGATCTAGCTTTCAGCACATGAATCACTGGGGGACAAACCATATGCAAACCATTACAACAACTTCCATTAGATCAATGGTTTTCAACCATGTTTGAGTTTGCTTTCCTAGAGGACATGAAGCAATGTCTGGCAATATGTTTAACTCTCCAAAATGGTGTGGGGAAGTGCTATGGGCATCTAGGGGGTAGAGACCAGAGATCCTGTTAAATAAACATTCTACAATGCATGGGACAGGCTTCCATGACAAGATTTGGCCCACATCTTGGGTTATGTCTATAGTCCCAGCTATTTTGGAGGGTGACCCTCAGCAGTTTGAGGCAGCCTGGGCAACATAACAAGGACTTATTTCAAAATAGAAAAGAAAATAAATCTGGTTTAGAATGTTAATAGTAACAAGGTGAAGATATATTCCTATGTATTTGTTGAGTTTTTGGGGGTGCTATTGTAAATGATACTTTTACACTTTTTATTTTCTACTTCTTCATTCTAATATATATATACATATTTATATATGTACATATTTATATATAAAATTTAGAAATTTATAAAATTTATTTTATATGCTGATCTTTATCTATAGAGCTTACTAAGTCATCTTATTTCTTATGGGTTATTGATAGATACTTTTAGAATTTCTATATACATAATTATGGTATCTGATCAAAAGAACACGTTTTACTTCTTTCTTTTCAATATTTGTGCCTCCTCTACCCCCACCTCCTTTGTTTTTGAGTACAGGCTATGACTTCCAGGGTGTTAAATAGAAGTGGTAGTAGGGGACTTTCTTGCCTTATTTATAACTTCATAACAACAACAACAACAACAATTGTGTTTCTATGTGTGTGTGCATATTTTAGCCATCAAATAGGGCATAAACTGTAGGTATTTTAATTGATACCAATATTGAGAAAATTGCCTTC